ACAGAGAGTTTTTTGCGATCATCTCATGTTACGTCGGAATGATGCTGTTCCGTATGGAAAATCGATACAGCCATTGGTTGAAAATTTCAGGGTCAGTGGTTCAAGACTTAAAAGAAAGCCCCATGGAAGACTTGGGAGCGCTCGAACTTCCGGGGTGTGGAAAACTTTAGAAATCATCTGCAAAGGTGTATAGTATCTAGAGATCGACATTTGGACGATGTCAATTTAAAAAACGAATGAATAAAAATTGTAGCCCTTGCTTTAAAGAACATTGAAATACATTTAATATCAGTTACGCTGATCTTTTTTTTTGCCAACTATAATATTTGGGCGGTATTTCCTTCCACACCCTGTATTTAAAGAACAGTTAGGATGACGCATTTGTCATTAAAATCAGTTAACCAAAACAGAAATTACTTAGAAATATTTTAACGTTTTGGTCTCAGTCCGTTTTGTTTTAGGTCAGCAGGAAGTTGATGCAAAAGTTATTTTTTTTATATGAATAACGTGCAACAACAGAAATAAATTGATAAAGACTGTTGCTTGTTGTTAAATAAGATGACATGTTTTGGAGAATACGTTGCAGATGGACGAAATTTAATTTCCAACATCTTGATTGTTCGTAGCGTCGCATTCGAAACTTGGCGACGGTTGCTATGTTCCAGTAAAACTCAACAGACGGAGTGCTTTGTCAAAAAAAAAAAAAAAGTTTCAATTTCACTTCCAGTACATTTGTCAAAAAATCAGCTCTAATTTTCCAACATGTACACCTGCTGAATTTTCCTTAAAAATTATTATAATCATCCCCTTTTTAAAAATTAAAAAAAAAAAAAAATTCCGGACTCCTGTTTGATTGAGTGCATATGTTATTATTTTCTCATGTGTTATCCATTTTAGTTGTTGTTTAAGTTATGTGGTTTCTGTTTATTTGATAAAGTTCTTTTTTTATTCTCTAACGCCATTCCACGAGATTCTATAGTAGATAGTATACCCTAACGCATACATTGTTCATGTTTTCATTGGCTCGAAGCCATTTTTAATCAGCTGAAAATTTAGTCATTTCTGAACGAGCCGGATACCATGGATGACATCGATAAGAGAATTTAGGTATGACGGAATGAGAACAACTTCATCAACTAACAGAAACCACATCACTTGAGGATTTTCAACAACAGCAAGAACTAAAATGGATAGCATTTGTAACTCGAAAAGAAAATGACGAAATAATCAAGATGTGGACTTCCCACGCTACTTCGAATGTAAATGTGGGGAAGGAAGACCATCCATCAATACAGGAAAGCGTTGTACATAAGAGTTTTCTCTCTAAATACCAGGAAATCTAACTGATTAAGTAAAAGCCGACAGGACAAAACTACCAATAAATATTATTTTCAAGGTTTTAAAAAGGACAAAAAATATTTTTACATGAAAAACCCTTTGATCTTTCTTCTTAATCATAACACCAAGATTTTTTGACGATAAAATCTTGATTTTATTATATTTTGGACACTTTTTCATTATGCATCTTTTAAAGGGTGTTCCAATAACTTGGACCGATTTTAAATTTGAATTAAATTTCAACCATGGCGAATCGAGGTGCCTGGGTTTTTGGCTGGTGCACTACAGCAATGATTTCAGCCGAACAGCGTAAATGAGCATGCAATGGTGTTTTCACATCTACCACCGACCCAGTAACTTTGAATTTATGAATACGTTTTCCAATTTCACTCTTGAAACTTTAACACGTTGTTTGATTGTTAATCTTTCCATAGTTGAAATTGCCAAAGGCTTAAGTCGTTAAATCTGAAAGAAAAAGGAAAAAAATCATTAGACGTTTAAACTTAATTCCCATTTAAAATCGGTTCAAGTTATTGGAACATCCTTTATTATTTTCTCTCCTACATCAAACGTTCTTTTCTCAGTCATAAATTTAAAATTATTTTTTAAAATAACCAGGAAAAATGGAATATTATGCGACTAAAATATTATTTGTATTTGCAAGTATTTGAATGATTTTTAAAAAAAAATCGAATGAATTATAATTTGAATTAATTTTTTAAAAATCGAATGAATTATAATTTGAATGAATTTTAAAAAATCGAATGAATTATAATTTGAATGAATTTTTAAAAATCGAATGAATTATAATTTGAATGATTTTTTAAAAATTGAATGAATTATAATTGGAATTAATTTTTAAAAAATCGAATGAATTATAATTGGAATTAATTTTTTAAAAATTGAATGAATTATAATTGGAATTAATTTTTTAAAAATCGAATGAGCTATAATTTGAATGATTTTTTCAAAAATCGATTGAATTATAATTTGAATGATTTTTAAAAAAATCGAATGAATTATAATTTGAATGAATTTTTCGAGTGCGTATAAAATCCGTTTATTCAATTCTGAATGACCATTTTTTTTTTAAATTTTTGAATTAAATTGAATTTTTCCTGAGAAATTGCCACGAAAATAAATAAGCAATGGGTTTTTTTTTATAAAAAAAAATAATAAGTGAAAACACGATCATTACCTGTCGTGGTGTACATATTCAACAAACTATATATTCTTTCAAAGTTTATAACAAAAAAAAGAAAGAGAAATCAGTCTTTGATAAAGGTAGTGATTTTCCAAGCGTAGCTTAGATATGGCACAAAGGCGAAAGTAGGGGGTACTCAGTGAGAATCGAACTCACTACTCAGACGTAACTGTCTGAGCAAGACAAGCTTGCTAACCATTACACCGCGTTCAGCTGGCCCCGGTCCTTCATAAAGGTATGGTATTTCGGCAGTATCAAATATTTTCATTCTATTAAGAGAATAACAAAAGAATCTCAAAAGGCAGGCACATTTTTTTTCTTTTAATGAATTTTAAAAATGCCAAATAGCTGGGAAAAAGATCATTTTAAAATTCAGATGAGTAATTGTCTCTTTTTGTCTTAAAACAAAATCGTAAATACAAGATCTGTTATATTCTATATTTTCATTTTCATTTTTAATTTCTTCAAACTTTGGATGAACGATTCGACTTGAATTCGGAACGCCACAAATTATACTAGCGTTGGTTTAAAAAAGTCGAAAGCACGTGAAACACGATTAACCTCATGAAAATCCAACAACAGAAAAGCAAAAATACCAGAATTTCTTTCTTTGTTCCTCAATATCTCATTCTCTAATGTAGCTTTAATAAAAGTGAAACATGTTAGATTGGTAAACGTTTCCTATTTGTTCTCTATCTTATCATTAGGTCGGATTCCGATTCATATTTGATTTGTATTTGTCCTAGCTCTCTCTCTCTCTCTCTCTTACACACACACACACACACACACACACACACATATATATATATATATATATATATATATATAGATAGATGGGCGCGTGGCCGTTCGCTTTCTGACCATGAGAGCTGGGTTCGAATCTCACCATGGTCGATTTGTCGGGAAGGAGAATTCCTGATGTTATTGAAATGGATCCATCCCAGCGTGCGGCACCTTTGGAAAGCCCTGTATGTGAAATAGGCTAGACGGAACTCTTGAAGGCCGTCAATAGCTGTACTAGCACAAAACCACAAGACATCGTGTCCGAGGGCTTGTTCAAATTGTTGATCACGCTAGATAACACGCTCTCTCCCAGAAGCTGTAACCAAACTCGGCTCAGTTTGCAGTATAAACCACAGGTGGGCTCTGTGGATGTTGAGCAAAAACACAAATGTGCCTGAGCGAGCGTCTGCGATAGGGATTGTAGACTTTATTGCATCCCAAGTAGAATAAAGAGTTTTTGAACTCTTTATTTAACTTGCAACACCATCGCTTGAAAAGACACCAGAAGTGTTGAAACAAAATGACTATTTTTGTAGGGATGTTATAACATACTTATACAGTAAAATCGACCTTGCTAACCGAAACGCTCCTCTGTGGCTAAATCGGTAAAACACGTCAGGCTATATGACGGCTCCTTATAGGATACAGGTTCGATTCCTGTCGGAGGACGCATATTTTCTATGAAAATTTCTCGGACATTTAGCCGGCAACGGTTGTGAATACTGTTTGTTATAAACAGAGCATTTACTTAAATATTTGTATCTATAAAAAGAACGTATAAGCATAAAAAATGTCTTAAAACAATCAAATATATATGTCATTACATAAACATTTGCACGATATATATATATATATATATATATATATATATATATAATCTTTATACACATGACGCCACTTATATTTGAATTTGAGTTACAGCGTTCCAATATTGCCATAAATGTAGCTAACTTAATCCTGTCATGATACTGACAAAATCCAATTCTTGATAATGACTGAGACAGTCGAAAGCCCTTAAAGAAAAACAGAAAAAAAGATGAACTTTGGACATATTATCCACAGATTTGATTAGCATATGCAACACCTAAAATTATAAAAACACAATAAAAAATTAAACAGGCTTTATATGTTGAAGTTAAGAAAAACTTGTTTAAATGAATCCTTCCTGCCTAAATATAATATACATACATAGATACTTATATATGTATGTGTATAAAGCTTAAGGTTGTACGTATTTACTTATATATATTCATATGTACGTACACGCGCGTACACACACTTGCCTATAGAGTTTTGCGCAAGGATTATCCAAGTGGGGTGTGGCAACTACAATGATTTATATATATATATATATATATATATATATATATATATATATATATATATATATATATATGTGCGTGTGTGTGTGTGTGTGTGTTGTGCATGTGTGTGTATATGATTTGTGTTTGTGTGTCAAGAAAGAACCTGTGTGCGAGGAAAGATGTATATCAGTTGGTCTCCCTAGCAACAACTGATCTCAGTATATCTAAACGAACGATAAGTGAACGCCATGAGCATCCATCATGTCTGCGAATGACGTGTTACACAGATGCCAAGAGAAATTCTAGCGTGTTGGATCGTAAAAAAAGTGGTTGGTGGGGTGAGTGCGAAATGTGGAAAAATGAAAAGAAAATTATGAAAATTGGACGGAGAAAATAAAATTAAAGAAAACGTGAGAGTGTTGATGTATTGAGTGAGAGAAAGAGAAAGAGGGAGAGAGAGAGAGGGGAGTGAGAGAGAGGGAAGGAAAGAAAGAGACAGAAAAATATAGAGAGAAACAGAGAGAAAAAGAGAAGGAGAAAAGAAGAAAAATTATAAAGAAAAGCACAATGGACAAAAGAGAAAGAGAAAGAAAGAGTGAAAGAGAAAGAGAGAGAGAGAAAGAGAGAGTGAGAAAAGAAGGGAAGTTATAAAGGAAAGTGCAATGGAAAAAAGGGAGAGAGAGGGAAAGAGAAAGTGAGAGAGAAAGAGAAAGAGAGAGAAAGAGAGAAAGAAAAGAAGAGGAATTATAAAGAAAAGCTCAATGGACAAAAGAGAAAGAGAAAGAAAGAATGAGAGAGAAAGACAGAGAGAAAGAGAGAGTGAGAAAAGAAGGGAAGTTATAAAGGAAAGCGCAATGGACAAAATAATAATAATAATAATAATAGTAGTAGTAGTAGTAGTAGTAGCAGAAAAAAAAAAGAAAAAAGAATATAAAGAAAAAGGACGAAGAATGAAAAAGATCTAAAGGAAAAAAGAAGTAAAAAAAGAAGGACAAAGAAAGAAGAAAAGGATGCACCAGGAAAGAAGAAGAAGAAGAAGAAGAAGAAGAAGAAGAAGAAGGGGGAGGAGGAGGACGACGACGAAGAATGAAGGATGAAGAATGAAGAAGATGTAAAGGGAAAAGATGAAGTAAAAGAAGATGATATTAAGATAAATGTTTTTTTTATTGATGCAGGAATGGTCATATTTGGGTAATATATTCTTAACCAAGAGATTTTATTAAAAGATTCAATGATATTTTACGTCAGTGAAAACTTGATGGAATTGAAATTAACCTATTAATATCAGAAGTAATGTACAATAAATAAATCATAATTTATGATAAAAAACTAGAAAAAAAGTAGTAATGAAATTGAAGATGAACAAAGAAGGATTTAAAAATGAATGTTAAGAAAGGGAAGAAAGATGAAATAGAAAGAAAGTAAAAAGAAAGACAGAAAGAAAGGAATAAAGTATTAGAAGGAAAGCCGAAAAAAAGAAAATATCGAAAAAGTAAGTGAAGGGAAGAAAAAGAAAAGAATTGGCATTGAGCAAAATCGGAAAGTCGTGCCGTGTAGTAGGATGGAAAAGGTGTGGAGGAGTATACAATAACGGAAGAGAGAGAAAAAGTTAGAGAAGAGAGAGACGGAGAAAGAGAGAGAGAGAGAGAAGAAGAAAGAAAGAAAGAAAGGGAGGATGAGTAGAAAAAAATGTAGAACTTTGATAATGAAGATAACAAAGAGAAGAAACCGGAAAGAGGAAGAAGAAGCAGAAAAGATAGAGAAAGAGAAAGGGGAAAAGAAAGAGGAAGAAAAAGAGAAAGAGAAAGCGGGAAAGAAAGAGGAAGAGAAAGAGGAAGAGAAAGCGGGAAAGAAAGAGGAAGAGAAAGAGGAAGAGAAAGCGGGAAAGAAAGAGGAAGAGAAAGAGGAAGAGAAAGCGGGAAAGAAAGAGGAAGAGAAAGAGGAAGAGGAAGCGGAAAAGAAAGAGGAAGAGAAAGAGGAAGAGAAAGAGGAAGAGAAAGCGGAAAAGAAAGAGGAAGAGAAAGAGGAAGAGAAAGCGGGAAAGAAAGAGGAAGAGAAAGAGAACGAGGAAAAGAAAATGGAAGAGAAAGAGAAAATGAACAAAAATAGTTGACAGAAAACAAAAAAAATCGCACCCGAGACCTTTTATAACTTCTCGACACAAGGGAATATTGGAAAAGGATCAGATCGAACAACCAATACAACGATATATATATATATATATATATATATATATATATATATATATATATAGATAGATAGATAGATAGATAGATAGATAGATAGAGATGAAAATGATAAAGGAATATAGATGTGTTTTATGGAAGAAGACAGGGTAACGGCACTCGAAGCTTCCCGAATTTGTCGATTTTAAGAAGGAAGATAAATTCGAAAATCACGCTCGTAACTAATAATTATTTGATTAACAAAGGTAATCGAATTTGACTCTAGTCTTTTTATTTCCGTCTTTAGTGATATAATTCTCCGACCTTTACGTTTAATATGAATGTGCAATCGAAATAACAAAATTATTCCTTTAAAATTCACATAATCATTTACTGGCTAATCCACCCAACCCACTTTCTGCTTTTTACTAGGAACATTCTCAGATCGATTTGCATCTAAAGGTAAAAAAAAAACAATAGGGAAACTGAATCATTAGCCGACGCGTTTCTTTCAACGTGGAAATTTTAAAGGCAAAAACGAAATGAATTTATTGAAAACAAAGTAACTATTACCAACAAACAAAATGTCCTTAGCAACTAGAAGAATTTAGAAAAAGTTATTGTCAGCTGAAAATTACGTCAAGTACTTTCACGTGTAGAAATATTGTTTTTATTGTTGTGTTGACGGATTCAAGCATTTTCTTTTGATTTCTTGATATAGTTATGTAAGTTGGCTTGGGAGAGTAGTAATTCTGTTACGTACACAACTATATCAAGAAATCAAAAGAAAATGGTGTAATTGGTAAACACAACAATAAAAACAATATTTCTACATGTGAAAGTACTTAACGTAATTTTCAGTTGACAATATGAATACATTGTTTTCAATAGATTCATTTCGTTTTCGCCTTGAAAACGTCCACATTGAACGAAACGCGTCGGCTAATAATAGAGTTTTCCTACACACACACACACACACACACACACACACACACATATATATATATATATATATATATATATGTGTGTGTGTGTGTGTGTTGGCAGCATATATTCATACAAAGATGTTTTATTGAATAATATAAACATATTTTTATACTGATCCTTTCCAGTTTTCTAATCAGTTTCTTAATGTTAAGATGAAATTAATCAAGGAAGGCGCCATAGTTTTTTTTGCTAACACGACTACTTCCGATGTTTTCCGAGATCATCTTAATGGTTCAATTACAAAGACAAACTTATTGTAACTGCAATAAAATCGGCCTTGTGATGGTGACTTTAAAATAATTACAGTGTGCGTTCTCGAGTGTTTTTTAAAATAACCATCACAAGCGACCCATTCAGTCATCTTCTACTTTGAGCGGCTCAGTGTAAAAATGAGAAAACATTTTTTTTTGTTGATTTGAATTCATTTGCATTAGAATCTTTATCCTGTATTGTGACTCATACACAATTTCTTTCTTGCTGGATGCCTATGCATCTCTAGTGCTAGCGTCTGACAATTCTCTGAACGGACACTTGTTTGGCAAGCGATCGACAGTACAGTTATAATTACATGTCAGAAATAATATTTATATAATTCAATATCAAAATCAGTATCAATATTATCAATAATTGATAACCTAAACAGTATAAAAGAAATGCAAGTACAAAGAAATAACAAATGAGGTATGAATCTGTGTTGTATGTGAAGACTAACCAATGCTAGACTCTTCATTAACGTGAAGTGTTCTCAAAGTTAAACTTTCCATTAACGTGAAGTGTGGCCAAAGTTAAACTCCTAATTGGCGTGAAGTGTGGCAAAAGCACAACTCGCCACTAATGTGAAGAGTAGCCAATGTTTGACTCGCCATTAATGTGAAGATTTGAAAAGGTTAAAATTTCCATAAACGTGAAGTGTGGCCAAAGTTAGGTTCTCTATTAGCGTGAAGAGTGGCAAAAGCTCAGCTCTTCATTACTGTGAAGAGTGGTTAAATTTAGAGTATCCATTAATGTGAAGTGTTACCAAAGTTAAACTCTTTATTAGCGTGAAGAGTGACAAAATCTCAGCTTTGCATTAATGTGAAGAGTAGGAAAAGCTCAACTCTCTATTACTGTGAAGAGTGGTTAAATTTAGAGTAGCCATTAATGTGAAGTGTTACCAAAGTTAAACTCTTTATTAGCGTGAAGAGTGACAAAATCTCAGCTTTCCATCAATGTGAAGAGCAGTAAATACTGTGAAGAGTGGTTAAAGTTAGACACTTCGTTTATTAGTCGCTGTTTCTGCTTGCGGTACATTGAGATCTAACCTAATTATTCCCCGCCATTTTTCGCGGTCTTGAGCTAGTAAGTCTCTGACCCGTCTTTTGTTGGAGATCTCAGAATTATGTTATCCCTCGTCTTTGTTTCTTTTACTTCATTTTTTCATGCAAAATACCCTCAAACCACAATTTAATAAGTCATTAAAAATTCAATATGTACGTATATATGATCTGCACGTTTGTATCCGTCTCAGATTTAAGGATTTTATTGAGAAATATTTTGTCATGTGAATATAGACGTGTTCTTTTTTTATAGTTACTATGTCCAAGTATTTTGTTTAGCTTTTGCTGTGTTATTTTACAAACCTGATACTTTGTGTAATGTCTATGTTGATTCTTTGTTTATCATCATTCATGGATATCAAGTACACGTTCTTTTTTTTACATTAATAGTGTGCTATATAGGTAATTTTATGCGTATAACATTATCATTATTTATATAAATACACTCTTGGTCAAAATTTTAAGACCAGATACAAAAGGGTTAAAAAATATAAAACACTGTTACTTTAATTGAAATATATTTGTGAAACATTTACATTTAATTAGAAAATATAGTTTATCAACGAACAAGTAAAAATTTTATGGTTTTAATTTGATTAATTTAAATAAACATTGAATGAGATGCAATAGTTGCTTCATTAGTGAATTGTATGATTATGGCATTGGTAGTTAAAAATAAAATTCATGGTTTCAATGCTATTTGATGCATTTTCGTTGAACCTTTGGACACTTTTTGAAATTTTTAAATCTCGTACCTACATGAGATTAGGTATTGAAGTAATTAAGTAACTTTATTTATCTTTATTCAGTTTGTGTAGAAATGTTGGTGTTTATTTAGTTAAAGTGTGAGTGAGCTCAAAATACATTATCACAGTTATGAGAAAAATGTTTCCTTATTATTGAATATGTATGCATATATGAGTTGTACATCAGTATTCTTTTCATATTTAAAGGTTTTATTGAGAAATATTTTGCCATGTGAATATAGACATGTTCTTTTTTATAGTTACTATATCCAAGCATTTTGTATAATTTTTGATGTTATTTTTTTACAAAACTGATACTTTATATAATGTCTATGCTGATTCTTTATTTATCATCATTTTCATTAAACATTTATGTTCAACAACATATCATGTAATTAGCATTCAGAAGTAATTATACAGTGAAGTCACTTCATTCATTTTTTCTCAATTTGTGTAGAAGTGTTGGTGTCTAGTTAAAGTGTATGTGCGTTTACGTGCTCAAAATACATTATCGCAACCAATACATTCATTGCCACAGTTGTTTCCCTGTCATTTAGACTTATGCAGTTATTTATATTTATACAAATATTGTTATTGGTTTCAAGATAAGAGATTTATAGATTTATTTTTCTTATTTTAAGAACATTGGATAAGTTAAATAAAGTTTTATCGTCTATTTATTTAAATTATGCGCGTGCAGTTGTGTATATTTAAATATAATTATCACATACAGTGCATTAAACATGTTTCCCTCGCATTACGAAATACATATCATCCTGGCGCCATTTTAAACACTTATCATCCTGGCTCCATTTTAAACACATATCATTCTGGTGCCATTTTAAACACATATCAACCTGGCGCCATTTTAAACCGATGTCTTCTTCTTTCTTCATATATTGCGACTGTTTTGCTTAAAGTTGCTATTTTCGTGATTTCAGACGAAAACTTGAAGAGTTTTAAATATATGT